CCTTCTAGATTAATGGACAGTTCCTAATTAAAAGAGAATAATGAAAGCATTATCATTTTGTGACAATTTTCACACACCCTTGTCTGGGTCAATGGAGCAAAAAGGAAATTGTGGTTACAGTAGCTGAGGAGGTTCAAGTACTTTGGGGCTTTCCTGGAGCTATGGCTTGGGCCCGAATTATCTGGGTAATTTCTTACGCCTATAAGACCAGCTATACAGCAGTCCTTGGGAAAGGAATTGGTGACCAGATATGGTGTTGGGATTTCCAGAAACTGGTAAAACCTTGTGTGTTTTCTCAGTGTAGGAAAATCCTATATAATAAAAGGGTAATATGCAAATTGACCCTAATGGCGAAACAACTGAGAACAACCGGTTGCTATGATGCACAGTGACCACCAGGGGGAAGACACTCAAGGCAGGAGATTCCCCATGGTGGTCAGTTCACTCCCACAGGGGGAGCTCTGCTCAGCCACAAGCCGGGCTGACAGCTGTGAGTGCAGCGGCGGTGGCTGAGCCTCTCCCGTCTTCTCGGTAGTGCTGAGAATGTACGACTGCGTATGCCTTGAATGGGAATCAGCAACCTTCTTGGTATGTGGGATGACACCCAACCAACTGAACCACTCCAGGCAGGGCCGTGTGTGTATATATACACACACATACATATATACATATTTATATATTTTTATATTTATACTAGAGGTCTGGTGCAAGAAATTTGTGTATGGGTAGGGTCCCTAGGCCTAGCTGGTGATCAGGGCTGATCTGTGGGGTGACCGGCAGGGTGATCAGGGGACCCCTGCTGGTACTCACCTTGGCTGGGCTGGCACTGCTCGCTTGCCGGCCCTGCCCCCCGCTGCCATAGCCAGTCATCTCTCTCTGCGGGGCAAATGGCAAGGCGACTGGGGGGGCCCCACTGGCACTCGCCTTGGCTGGCCTGAGGCCTGTAGGCTGGGAGCAGCTCCTGCATTGAGCCTCTGCCCCCTGGTGGTCAGTGCACATCATAGTGACCAGTCGTTCCCCCGGTCATTCTGCCATTTGGTTGATTTGCATATTAGGCTTTTATTATATAGGATATTTATATACTTATATTTTATATTTTTATGTATTTATGTATCTACTAGAGGCCTGATGCATGAAATTCATGGAAGAGTAGGCCTTTTCAGCTGAGGCAGGTGCCTGGATTCCTCCCTCACAGCTGGCGGCTGCCTCAATCCCACAGCTACAGCCCCAGCTTCGTCTGGAAGGACATCTGGTTAGCATATTTCGCTCTTATTATTATAGATGTACTAGAGGCCTGGTGCACGAAATTCATGCACTGGGGGTGGGGGCGTGGTTCCTCAGCCCAGCCTGTGCCCTCTCACAGTCCAGGACCCCTCGCTCATTACCACCTGCCTGCTTGCTGCTCACTACCATTCAGCTTGCTGCTCCTTAATGCTGCCACAGAGGTTCCCGCCACCTCCGCTGCACTCGCCAGCCATGAGCCCGGCTTCTGACTGAGCAGCACTCCCCCAGTGGGAGTTCACTGACCACCAGGGGGAAGATCCTATGTTGAACATCTGCCCCCTGGTGGTCAGTTCATAGCCACCATTCATTCCACCGTTCAGTTGATTTGCATATTAGATTTTTATTATATAGGCTAGGATATTGAATGTGAACTGTAAATGAGAAATAAAATTTTAAAAAGAACCAAATAAAATTTTAGATCTGGAATTTTTTTAATACATATATATATATATTTTTTTTTTAATTCTCACCTGAGGATGTTTTTAAAATTGATTTTTAGAGAGAGAAACATCCATGTAACAGAGAAATACCAGTAGGCTGCCTCTGCACCTGCTGACCCAGCGGGATCTAACCTAAACCTAAGTATGTGCCCTAACCTAGAATCCAACAGGAAATCATTTGGTGTACAGGTTGAGATGCCAACCAATTGAGCCACCTGGCCAGGGCAGATGTGAAAAAAAAATTTTTTAATGTACCTCCAGGCCCTGGTTGGTGTGGATCAGTAGTTAGAGTGTCCTCCTATGCACCAAAGGGTCATGGGTTCGATTCCAGGTGAGGGCACAAACGCGGGTTGTGGGTTCCATCCCTGTTGGATTGCTTGGGCAACTGATCAATGTTTCTCTTTCTCTATCCCTCTCTCTTCCTCTCTCTCTAGAATCAATGAAAAGAACATATCCTTAGAGGAGGACTTAAAAAGAAAAAAAATGCTGGTTTGGTTCAGTGGATAGTGCTTCTGCAGGTGGACTGAAGGGTACCGGACTGGAT